TCGGAAGGCTGAGGCGGAAGGATCGCCGGAGCCCAGCAGGCGAGGCCGCGGAGGCCGGGAGCGGCCACTGCACTCCAGTCTGGGCGACAGAGTGAGACTCCAACTCAAAAAAAAAAAAAAAAAAGAGGAATTAATAATAAAATCACCCATAATTTTTACATTTGTATATCAAGAAACATAATTATAAATAACTCTAGACATAAAAAGGAAACAGAAATGGAAATGAAAAACTACTGAATGTTAAGCAATAGTGAAAGCACCTTACAAGAAAAATCACTGAATATAACCAAAACAGTGCCCCTAACACAAAATTAGGAAGGCTAAAAGTAAATGAGCTAAGTTTAACACACACACACACACACACACACACACATACACACACACACACACAAACAAAGCCGAAGGAAAAACATGGGAAATATTTTTTTAAAACCTGGTAAAGGTAAAATTAAAATTAATAAGAAAATTAAAAATTATACTTGAATAGGGAAATTCAAAGATGAAACTTTGAATGAGAAGATTCAGAAATGAGCAAAACTTCGCAAATGCAATCAGGATAAAAACAAAAGAAGGCACAAATAAAATTAGTGAATGAAAGGGATTTTTTTCTTAATTAAATCTTAAAATTTTTAATTATAAAAAACTATAAAACTATAGAAATTCCAGGTGAAATATAAACAAATCATGAAACAGAAAACAGATTACTTAAAATTGTCCTGAGAAAGTAGGAAACCTAGGTATATCAATTACATAGAAGATTTTGAAATGTTAAAGATCTCCATAAGCAAACATTGGTTGTATGTGAGGTTTTATAGTTTTATGGATGAATTCTATCACGCTGTTAAAAAACAAATTATTTCTAAATTTTAATGCCAGAAATAACTGTAATTCTATCTCATTTATGAATGTAGAAACAATACTTCTAAATATACTATTATAAAATTAATCAAGAAGTTTATTAAATTGTTTGACATTATGATCAAGTAGATTTTACCCCAAGATTGAGAGGATGGTTTAACATTACTATGTTGACTACATTAACAAAGTGAAAGAGAGTAGGCCAATAGATGAAGATAAATCAGTCAATAAAATTCAATAACCATTCATTTTTAGAGTAAAAACAAACTCTTAAACTAGGATTAAACGAGTGTTAACTTGTGAAGGTATCTATAAGACTGTGTTGGTGAGATATTGAAAACATTCTTATTCAAGTCAGAAATAAGATAATGATACTCAGAGTTGCCAATGCTGTTTGTTCTATCTCCAATGACTAGTAGAAATCTTAGTCATTACACAACATCTGGAAGAAAAAAGAGGTGTAAGCCCAAATTTTTGTTATCCACAGACCATGTGATTATCTACTAGAAAACTTAAAAGAACTAAATGACAAATTACAGAATTTAACTTAAAAAAATATGTACAAGGTGGCCAGATATGAGTAGCATACTTAAAATAATTTGCCTTCCTCTATACCAGCCAACATAGAAAAAATTCCAGTTAACAATAGTTAATAGTATTAAAATTCACAGTACTAATAAAATAAACCCAAGAATAGCCCCTAAAAGATGTGTTAGACCTCTTTGCAGAATTTTATGAATGTTTATAAAATAAAATAAAATTACTAAGTAAATGCAGACAAATAATTACTTGATGTGAGAAATTAATATTATAAACAGTTGATTTTACCAAAAGTTAATCTTTAAATTTGAATTAATCACATTCAAAATTCCAACGGTTTTTTAAAAATGAAACGAACAAGCTGATTCTAAAATTCATTTCGAAGAGTAAATTTATAAGTGTAGTGAAGATCGCTTGAAAAAAGAACAAAGATGGATTTATTTTCCTTACCAGTTTTGAACACATTATAAAACTGAATAGTGTAACTAAAAAGTGTATTAACAGTGTAGGACTAAACAGTGGAACAGAATAATATCCAGAAACAGAGTCATATTTATATGGGAACTTTGAAATGCCTCTTTTTCTCTTGTTAATGACTTCTTGGTATTTTTGAGATTAAAAGATCATAGTGTCAAAGAGCGGGGTCAAGAGTTATTAGTAACTTCCAAAAGTAAATTTAAATTATTGTTTTCTACCCTCAAGCTATTACTTTCATTGTTTGAAGCTCTTCATCCTTTTTTCAAATATTGTTTCTCATAGAAAAAAAAGAACATATTCAGAATGATATGTGAAAGGAAGATCTTATTATCTAATGTCTTATTGAGTACTGAGGTAACATCTCTAAAATAAGGTCATTTTGATTACTTTAATGGGGACTTTAAAAAAAATCTTAGGGCCTGCAGTTATGGGTCCTCCTGGTCCCCCTGGATTTCCTGGCGAAAGGGGTCAGAAAGGTGACGAAGGCCCACCCGGAATTTCCATCCCTGGATCTCCTGGACTTGATGGACAGCCTGGGGCTCCTGGCCTTTCAGGGCCTCCTGGCCCTCCTGGCTCTCGCATGCCTCCCAGTAAGCTATATTTTTTTCCTGTTACGTTCTATTGTTGTTTTTGTTTACTTTATTTATAAGTATATCTAGCTGAAAATTGGCATCATTCTTTGTGTTTCTGATATCTAAGAGAAATTCTATTACTGCCTCTACTTGTGGTCTTTGGTGATTTTTTGATGTTAAAATTTACTCTATAAATTGTGTTTACAACAATATTAGACTTTCCTTTTGCTAATAGGTACTTTAAAGAAGTAACTGAAATAGATACTCTTCTAGCTTCTCAGGCTTTCTTTTCTCTTAGTAGTCTGTATATTTGGTAACAATTAGTTTGCTATCTTTTCTTTATATTACTCAGGTGATGAGATATGTGAAGCAGGTCCTCCTGGCCCTCCAGGAGCTCCAGGTGATAAAGGACTCCAAGGAGAACAAGGAGTGAAAGGTTTGATCTCCAAACATACTCATTCCTTCATTTTCTTCATTCTTTCAAATCATCAGCAAAGTCCCCTGTATCCTCCATCACACCTTAGTCACTCACTCTCACAGTCACATTCCAATACTGTTCATTACCAGTTGTGTTACACTTGCATGATCTTGATTTCATGAATCTCATTTTCTGAATATTATCTTATTTCTAGCTTACTACCTCAATAACCTGACTCCAGCATTACCTCAGCCCCACTGAGACCTACCAACTTTGACTAACCCTCAACTTTTGATGTCCTTTATTCCCTCTTACCCCTGCTTAAATTCTATGATCAGTCATTGTAATCAGCCCCATTCATTAATCCTTGACTCATTTGCCCTGCTCCCACTTCACTGTAGTCACATGGAACAAAAGCATAACCCTGGTAATGCCAGATTTCCATCTCTTCTGAGCCTGCACCTTCTCTTTTTCAAACCTTTAACTTTCTCCCCTATTCTCATTTGAAGTTTCTGATCTTTCCTCGTACTTCATTGACCAATTGAAGTAATAACAAGAGAACTTTTGCAGATTTCCATCATTACATTTACCTACCTACTTACATCTGTGCCCATATATTCTGCCTTCTTGCCTATTGCTGTTACTGCTCCTACCCAAAGCCAATTCTTCTATTTATACAATGGATTCCCATTCCCTCTTATTTCCTCAAGAATTTTGTTCCAGAAAATTTTGCTTCTCCCACATCATTAATCCTTCCCTTTCTACTGGATTATTCCCAGAAGTATATAAATATGCTTTATTCACCTACCTAAAAAGAATACTTTGTGGTAATCCCACTTCCCATGCCAGCTACTGCTCTATTCTTCTCTTATTTGCATCAAAACTCCTTAAGAATTTTCTACTTACGATTTCTAGATATTCTCCTCCCATTTTCTTTTATATGCCAATTAGGATTTCACCCCCTACTCCACTTCTTACTGCCTACCACTCCACAGAGGCTGGTCAAAGTCACCTACAGCCTATATCCTGCTAATCCAAATGTCAAGTCTATCCTTTTCTTATTACTTTTTTGCCTTCCTTAAACAGTTTCTTCACTTGACTTTCAGTACATATATTTTCTGGTTTTGCTCATATCTTCCTGACATGTCTATAACTCACATAACTTCCATATAAATAAAAATACAGAACATTTTAAGGACTCTTCAAGACACTCCTGTGCCCCTACTCAATACCACCAATAGTAATCACTATTTTGTCCCCTAGCATACATTAGTTTGCCTTATCTTGGACTCTGTATAAATGGAATTACACTGTGTGAGTCCTTTTGTGTCTAATTTCTTTAGCTAAATATCCATATTTTTTCTTTGTAACAGTATCTTCCTACCACTCTTTGGTATTTTGTTGTACAAATTTACCTCATTCTATTCATTTTAATGGTGTTGGACATTTGTTCTGGGGTTATTGTTAATAAAGCTGCTGTGAGCATTATTGTACATATTTCTTGTAGGACATAAATGCTAATTTCTTTTGGAGATATGCCTAGGAATGGAATTGCTGGGTTATAGGATAGGGTATAGGTTTTGTTTCATAGATATTGCCAAACCATTTTCCAAAGTGATTTTTAGATTGCCTTTCACTAATGACCCATTGATGATGAACTTATTTTATATAGTTTGTATATTCTCTTTTGTAAAGTGCTTATCTTTTCTACATTTTTAATTTGATTGTTGGCTATGTGTATTATAACTATCTTCTCCTATTCTGCGACTTGCTTTTTTATTTGTCTTTTGTTAAATACCAGGTATTAATTAAATGAAATAAAATTTATTACTGTCCTATTTTATGGTAAGTGTTGCTTATGCCCAGCTTTAAAAATCTTTGCTTATTCCAAAGGCCTAATGATATTCCTCTATGTTTTCTTTTAGATACTTCATTGTTTTACTTTTCACATTTTGATCTTTGATCTATCTTCAATTAATTTTTATATGTAGTTTGAAGAAGGGATCAAAGTTCATTTTTCCCATATGGATATTCAATTGACTCAGCACTGTAGTACAAAAGATCATCAATTCCCCCACTGAACTGCATTAACATTTTTGTTGTACATCATATGACCATATATGTAAGAGTCTGTTTCTGACCACTCTATTCTGTTCTATTGTTCTATCTGTGTCTCCTTGCGCCAATACCAGACTGTCTTAATTTGGCTTTATAGTAAGTCTTGGATAGTCTAGGTTCTTTGCATTTACATTTGCATGTATCTTAGAATTATCTACTCAAATTTTAATTTTGAAATGCCCCAGGGTTCAGTCCTTGTTCCTCTTCTGCTCTCTGTCTAAACTCATTTATCCAGTTGCATGACTTTTCATACCATCCTCTTGCCAGTGATTTCCAAATTCTTGTCTCCTGTCCAGACACGACTCTTTTCCTCTAGATTTGTATATCCAGCTGCCTACTCAACATTTTAACTTGATATCCTGATCAAGTTGGAAGCCCTGATCTCTACTATCGCCTTTTCTGTGATTGCTCCACTCATATCTTTCCCTTCTTACTTAAAAATCAGGCCATTCTAGCCTTCTAGTTGCTCACACTGAAAATCTTGGAGTCATCCTTGATTTCCCTTTTCTTTTGTATTCCATATATGATCCATGAGAACTTCACATTGGCTATATTTTCAGATATATCCAGAGACCAACCAGTTCTGATCATCTTCTCTGGGGCCACTCTGAGATGAGCTACTACCATCTCTCTACTAGATTACTGCGGCAGTAGCCGCTTAAGTGGTTACCCTGTTTCCATCATTGACCTTAGAGTCTATTCTTTTAGGGATGAGTTATATTCATGTTGCCTTTTCTTTTCTTTTCTTTTCTTTTTTTTGAGTTGGAGTCTCACTCTGTCACCCAGACTGGAGTGCAGTGGCCGCTCCCAGCCACCGCAGCCTTGACCTGCTGGGCTCCAGCGATCCTTCCGCCTCAGCCTTCCAAGTAGCCAGAATTACAGGCACGCGCTACCACGCCCGGCTGATTTTTTGATTTATTGTAGAGATGAGGTCTCGCTGCCCAGGCGGGTCTCGAACCCGCGGGCTCAGGCAATCCACTCACCTCAGCCTCCCAAAGGCTCGGGATTACAGGCTGAGCCACCGAACCTGGCTCATGTTGCCTTTTCCATGTAAATTATTCTACTAGACTCTGATTTTATTCACAGCAAAAATCACAGTGTTTACCATGGCCTATATGATATGGTACTCATTATAAACTGGTAACTTTCAGACCTGCTTCCCCTCCTTCACTATACTCCAGCAATCTTGTCTTCTTGTTGTTACTTGTATATGACAAATGTGGCCATACTTTCTGCTTAGAATATTCTGTACTCGATATGCACTTGTCAGATCCTTTACTTTTTGTCTTATATATCATTTTCTCAATTAGGTCTATCTTGACACTCTATGTATTTATTATTTTCGTTTTATTTAAAAAATATGATTCAAGGTCCACTTGTGCCGATTTGTTACATAGTACACTGCGTGATGGTGGATCTTGGGCTCCTATTGAGCCCATCTCCCAGGTGATGGGCAGGGTACCCTATGGGTAGTTTTCCAAACCCTACACCCCTGCCTCCCTTCTGCCTTTAGGAGTGCCCCAGTGTCTCTTGTTCCTAACCTTGTGCACATGTGTGTTCAGTGTTTAGCTCCCACTTATTAAGAAGAATATGCTATATTCAGTTTTCTGTTTCTGTGGTAATTTGCTTAGGATGATAGTCTCTAGCTTCGCCCATGTTGCTGAAAAGAATGTGATTTCATTCTTTTTTTTATGCTTGTGTAGTATTCAATAGTGTATATATACCACATCTTCTTTATGCAGTTCACCATTGGTAGGCACCTAGGTTTGTTATTGTGGTTAGTGCTGTGATAAACATGTAAGTACAGGTATCTTTTTGGGAAAGTGATTTGAGCGCCTTTGTGTATATACCCAGTAGTGAGATTGCTGGGTCAAATGGTAAATCTATGTTTAGTTCTTTGAGAAATCTCTGAACTGCTTTCCATAGGGTTTTACTAGCTTACATTTCCACCAACAGTGTAGGGACGTTCCCTTTTCTCTGCAACATCTGTTGTTGACATTTTAATAAAAGTCATTCTGACTGGTGTGAGATGGTATATCATTATGGTTTTGATTTGCATTTCTGTGATGATTAGTGATGTTGAACATCTTTTCATATGCTCGTTGGTTGCTTGTATATCTTCTTTTGAGAAATGTCTGTTCATGTCCTCTGCCCACTTTTTAATGGTGACCACTCTATTTAAAATTGCAACCTGCCACCCATTCCTGGCATACCCAGTCCCACAAACCCAGCTCTATTTTTCCCTATAAACATAACATCTTTTAATATATGTAAAAATTTTTAGTATATAATGTATTACCTACATAATTTATTATCCCTTCCCACTGGTAGAATATAAATTACATGAAGGCATGGATTTTTTGCCTGTTTGGCTTACCAATGTATCACAGACACCTCGAACATTTCTTGGCACACAGTAGGCACTCAGTAAATATTTGTCAAATGAATTAATTTAAGATATAGGCATCTCTAACCACACTGTTAGGTAGAAATGCTGTCCCTTGATGCTAACTGCTTTAGAACCTATGTAAAGAAGGTATACGTATATACCCTTTCCAATAATATTTGTGTTTTTTTGTTATTTCATTAGGTGACAAAGGGGACACCTGCTTCAACTGTATTGGAACTGGTATTTCAGGGCCTCCAGGTCAACCTGGTTTGCCAGGTCTTCCAGGTCCTCCAGGTACATTCTGCCTCAGGACTACTTTCTAAGATTTTTTTTGCTAGATTTTAGTAAGCTCATAGTTTTAGAATGTTGCCAATTATCTTTTTATGACTGGTCATTCATATCTATAAATAAGTGTTAAATTCCTGTATTTGATATCAAATAAATTACTCTCTTGTTTCTAATACTAGAAACTACCAACATTTTCTATTAAAGTATTTTGACAATATTATTCCAGGAAATATATCTTCCCTATTTCCCATATGGAAAGGAAAATACCTTACACAGAGTCAGCCTTCCTTCTTCCAGAAAACTTGAGGAAAAGTTCATAATGCCTGGTCCCTTAATATAGTTTTTAATGGCAGAGATTCTAGTTATTGAGGATGTATCAGAGCTTCTATTGGAGTTTGGCAATCAAATGCAAATATTCTTCTGTCTCTATATAACTCTTCCCTCTCCATTTCCAATCAAAGTTTGATATCCACGTTTTATAATCTATCAGATCCGCAACTGTTTTACTTAACTGCCTCTTGGGATATCACAACATTATGTTATCTTGAAATCACACTTTATGTCTGAGTTAGGGCTAAGAATAGACACAGATCACTTACCTTTCTGTCTAGTGTATCTGCCAAGGTCACCGATTCATTTGAAACTTGGGAATATGTTCAGCAAGTCTTATAGATGCCACTGGAAGTTAGTAACCTAGCCTTGTCCCTCTAGTTCAGTGGTTCTCAAACTTGGGAGTACATCAGAATTACCTGGCGGGCTTGTTAAAACCCAAAAGTTGATTTCCAGTTGCTGAGTTCCGATTCAATATATCTATAGTAAGGGATCAAGAGTTAGCATTTCTAACTAGTAACCAGGTGATAGGTGATGATGCACCTAGTCCAGGGATCCATTTGGAGCACCACTGCTCTTTAATAATGTTTCCTCTAGTCTTTGGGCTCCAAATATTTCTCAAAAACCAAATGTTAGCAAATGACAAACCAAAGGAAGAACTGGTAAGGTTCTAGAAAAGTTGTATGAGTCAGAACAAAGATATGTAGACCTTTTCCTTAGCTCCTTCTCCCCCTGACAATGGTATGGTTATAGGAGCCCAGGCAACTCTGCACAGTATTTGGTAGTTGAAAGTTCAAGAAAGGCTGCTTTGGAGTTAGAAATATCTAAAACTACACTATTGTATGTAACACAAAATGTTAAATTTATTTGAAAGAAAGGATGATTTCCTCATTTTGAGAACATAACAGAGGAAAGTAAAAATGTGACTTCAGTGGGATTGAATGGGGTTCTTCTTTTTAAAACTTGACTTTCTGACTTGCTGATTTCTATATGAGCTTTGTCGGCAACTCAAGTTGAAAGCACACATTATCATGTGTATGTGTGTGTGTATGTTTGTGTTAGGATCTCTTGGTTTCCCTGGACAGAAGGGTGAAAAAGGGCAAGCTGGTGCAACTGGTCCCAAGGGATTACCGGTAAGTTTTGAGTATATTATAGAACAAAAATAAGTAGAAGGAAGATATTTACATCTTGATTTTCACATATATACATATAAACATATATAATTGTAATGTATTTGATTCTTTGACTCACATGCCTTACTTGGTTCAGTCCTTTGTACACTAAATTTTATTGGGTGGGTTGATGGGATAGACTAGAGAGAAGAAAGTATTAGAAAAAAGAGAAACTGATCTTCTTTATATTGTCCTTCTTTTTCTATTCTTTCTCTTTTTTTGTACCCCTTCAGGGCATACCAGGAGCTCCAGGAGCTCCAGGATTTCCTGGATCTAAAGGTGATCCTGGTGACATCCTCACTTTTCCAGGAATGAAGGGTGACAAAGGAGAGTTGGGTACCCCTGGAGCTCCAGGACTTCCTGGTTTACCTGGCACCCCTGGACAGGATGGATTGCCAGGGCTTCCTGGCCCTAAAGGAGAACCTGTGAGTTGGTTTCATGTTTTTGGTTTTGTGATGTCAAATTGTTATTTAGAAATGTCTCCTAAATTAATTCAAAGGATGGACCTGGTGCTGAGATGAACACCCAATTTATGCTTAAAAGAATGTGGTTTACAGTAATAGTACATTGTTACTGACCATGTAGGACTTCTTTGCTACTGTATTCTTTCAATTGTTTTATGAACTTCTTAGTCCATTATGTTATTTAGTAATATTGACTATAAATAGGGCAGGAGGTTGAAACATTTATGAGTCAGTGTGAGGTTCCCCATCTCTCACCATACATATCCTTGTCTGCATTTATTTAGACTTGACAACCAGAAATCTAACTTGGCTTTCATATGTAGTAAGCTTACAGGTTAGTATGAGTAGTGGCCATGTTCAATGTGCCTCAGAACTAAAAGATTGAATATAAGCTAACAGAGCCTCATTTTGTACACAACACATAGCTCAGGATATTTAGGTGGGAAATGATATAATATGCTATTTAGACTTTAACTTTCTTGATTTATACTTGAATATAAACTTCATAAGGGCAGATATTTTTGTCTTTTTAAATTTTCTGTTATATCCTCAGTACTTGGCACATTATAGGAGCTCAAATATATTTGTTGAAGAAACGAATAAGTGTTGTGTTCACACATACCATCCCATAAGCTTATACAGCTTTTCTTTCCACAGTGAAGAGTATTTTTTTTAGCTTTAAAATGTTTTATTTTAATGATGTGGAGTACATTTCAGGGTTAGGTATACAACTGAACTTATACAGCTTTTAGAAGAACTATTTGAGGCTATATCATTTCCCTAATTATATTTAGTAATACTCACCCATCTATGTTATATCTATGTTTTTCTGTATTAAACTTTTCCCTTTTCAGGGTGGAATTGCTTTTAAGGGTGAAAGAGGTCCCCCTGGGAACCCAGGTTTACCAGGCCTCCCAGGGAATACAGGGCCTATGGGCCCTCCTGGTTTTGGCTCTCCAGGCCCAATAGGTGAAAAGGGCATACAAGGTGTGGCAGGAAATCCAGGCCAGCCAGGAATACCAGGTACGTTTACTGTGACTGATTGTTTTGTTTTAAATTTGGTGCTATAAAACAGAAATGGAGACTTTGTCGAAGATGAGGTGGTTAAGGAATATATTCTCTTTTGGTCACTCAGCTTCAAAGTTCCTTAGCAAGCAAATACAATGTGTTTTTTTTAAGGATTTCTCTTTAATGTTCTTTATTTTCGTTGTTGTTATTTTTGTTCTTTTTAAGTATGTGATATATTATGCAAAGCTTAAAAATAATTATAATGGAAGCACACATGTGACTATGTGACTACCACACACATTAAGAAATAAAACATTGCCAGCCTTGCAGAAACCCCTCTTTCCCCTTTCTGGATCATAATCCCCTTCCTCCTCTTTACTATCCTGACTTTTGCATAATTTCTGTTACCCTGTAGTTTTATGACCTATGTATGCATTTCTAAGTAGAGTATTTTAATTTTGTTTCTTTTTGAACTTCACATTAATGGAATCATAAGGTAAATGTTGCTTAGGTTAACTTTGTTATAGCTATAGTATATTCATTTTCACTGCTATATAGTATCCCATCGTATGTATGAGTGTGTATATGTGTGTGTATATCACAAATAAGCCATCCATTTTATTGTTAAAGGTCAATTGAGTTGTTTACAATTCAGGTCTATTATGAATAACATTTCTATGTACCATTTTATATAGAGATCCTGGCGTCCATGCACTCACACTTCTATAGAGCAGAGGTTGGCAAACTATAGCCCAAGGACCAAATCCAGCCTACCATCTGTTGTTACAAATAAAGTTTGTTTGAACACATCCCTGCCCATTCACAATTGTGGTTGCATTTGCACTATAACTGCAGAATTGAGTAGTTGATTCAGATGTCATATAGTCCACAAAGCTTAAAGTATTTACTGTCTGGTCCTTTACAGAAAATGTTCATCAATTCCTGGGCTAAGGTATATATTTAAGATTAGCATTTTCGGAGGATGGGATAAATACATTTTCACCTTGACTAAATAATTCCAAACTATATCCAGAGCAATCGCACCAATTTATATGAGCACAAGTAGTGCTGGAGATTTCTTGTTGCTCTGCATCCTCACAAACATTTTGTATTGTTAGACATATTTTTGCCAGTCTGTTGAGTATGATAAAAGTCATGGCAGTTTTATTTTTGCTTTTTTCTGATTACTTTAAAATATAGCTTCTTTTCATATATTTATCGGCCATTAGAATTTCAATTTGTGAAATGCCTATTCAAATGTTTTGACCATTTTTTATTGGATTATTTCTTTTATTTATTTAGGGGAGTTATTTATATATTCTATGTTTCAGTTCTTAGCTATATATGTTGCAAAAAATTTTACTCATCGTGGCTTGCCATCTTCACTCTCTTTATGGTAATTTAATAAACATAAATCAAATTTTATGTAGTCAGATTTACCAATCTGTTCTTTCATGGTTAGTGCTTTATGTGCCATGTTTAGGAAATTCTTCTTTTTCCTGGGCCCATTTCAAACCCCTGTCTTAATTAATGAGAAGTAAATATACTTGGACTTGGCACACATAAAACCTAAAGGTACTGTTAACCAAAAAGTATTTTCCCTGTTTACTACAGTTTGATTCTTTTAGACTCTTTTGATCTATATTATATATATATATATATAGGGTTGGAGTCTCACTCTGTCACCCAGACTGGAGTGCAGTGGCCTCTCCTGGCCACTGCAGCCTCGACCTGCTGGGCTCTGGCAATCCTTCCGCCTTAACCTTCCAAGTAGCTGGAACTACAGGCGCACACTACCACACCCGGCTAATTTTTGGATTTATTGTAGAGATGAGGTCTCACCAAGTTGCTCAGGCGGGTCTCGAACCTGCAGGCTCAGGCAATCCACTCACCTCAGCCTCCCAAAGTGCTGGGATTACAGACTGAGCCACCGAGCCCAGCTTAAAAAATATTTTTATAGTTAACATCTTGCCACGGTTTTCCAGAGAAACAGAATCAATAGGATAGATGGAGAAAGAAGAGAGGAGAGGATAGGAATGGAGAGGAAAGAGAGATATGATTTATTAGGAGAATTGGCTCACAGAATTATGGAGACTGAGAAGTCTCATAGTAGGCCACCTACACACTGGAGAATTGGAAAACAGGTAACATGATTCAGTCCAAGTCTGAAATTCTGAGAACCTGGGTGACAGCTGGTGCAAGTCCCAGAGTATGAAGGCCAGAGAACATGCAGTTTTCATGTTCAAGGAGAGGAGAAGATGAGTGTCTGGGCTCCCAAAGAAAAAGCGAATTCACATTTTCTCTGCCTTTTTGTTCCATCTGGGCCCTCAGCTGATTGGATGGTGCCTGCCTACACTAGGTAAGGGCAGATCATCCTTACTCAGTCCACTGATTCAAATGCCAGTCTCTTCCAGAAACACCTTCACGGACATAGTCAACAGTAATGCTTTACCAACTCTATCTCCTAATATAGTCAAGTTAACACCTAAAATTAACCATCACACATCTTTAATCATGGGAACTCTTAAAGCTGTCATCTCCTTTTACTCTTTGAAATTTTATGCTTTTTTGGAATATCTTCCTTTAATATATTATATAGAATTGTTTTTCTTGTGAATTTCTGTTAGTTTATATTTTCAAAATATTATTGATGATATCTTTTTTGTTTTAAATTGTAAGAGATCTTAAGCCAAGTAAACACTTCTCATTCAACACTGAATCACTCTTGTTCTCAGGTCCTAAAGGTGATCCAGGTCAGACCATAACCCAGCCAGGGAACCCCGGCCTGCCTGGTAACCCAGGCAGAGATGGTGAAGTAGGTCTTCCAGGTATGAAAGGAATTAATTTAAAAACTTCTTCAACACTACTGGCTTCTTTCTTTTAGAATTTCCCTTTCAAAAAACTGCTGTTTCTCCACAGGTGACCCTGGACTCCCAGGCCAACCAGGCTTACCAGGTATACCTGGTAGCAAAGGAGAACCAGGTATTCCTGGAATTGGGCTTCCTGGACCACCTGGTCCCAAAGGTATGTTGAAATGGGTAGTGGGCAGGGTAGGTTAGCTGATTAGTTTGACATTATTCTGTGATATACTTGATTCACCAAATAAAATATGTTAATTGTAGCTTTTTTCTGTGTGCTATAAAGAATGTAAATGCAGAGCCACCCTGTGTATGCACTCCAAGTTTATTATGTTTATCTAAAACAATATGGTCAAAAAAAATGCCTAAATTGTAGATAAGCAAAAATGATATATAAGCTTTAAAAATCATGAACTTTGTTGTCTTTTGTGTTCGCCACTGTATTCTCAGGGCTTAAAACAGTTCCTGGCACATAGTAAGTACTCAGTAGATATTTGTTGAATTAATGGATTGTATTAGACAGAAAACAGAATTATTGTATTGCATATCCAAACAATGTTTCATCCTAAATAATATTTTCCTGATTTATTGAAATTTTTAAGGCTGTTGGTTAAATTCTGCTTTATTTCTCACAGAATTTATTCTCATGAATGGTAAGAGTACATATTGGTCTGAGGACAGTCTTTAAACATATCCTTATTTATGACAACTGCTTTCAAAAGTGTCAGGTTTGATTTTAGTGTGTAGGTGTATATAATATAAGCAATTATTTTTAGCTCATTTCCAGAGTTATATGGTAGGCCTTATAGCATACTATATTCAGATGTTAGTAGAAGAAAAGTTTTTCTGTGTTTTCTGTGTTCTGGACTCATTCCCTACATTTAGTTATTTCTTATTACATAATAACCCTCATTTTTCTTTAGAAGAATGTAACTTCTACACACATTAGCTGTATGTATAAATAACAGGATCTTAAGGTGATTAAGAAGGTATATCAGGTATCTGTAAGGCTTGATCCTAAGTAGTCATATATAATGTCATTGTGCTTTTAATATCTTACTTTAGTCACTAAGCATGATTGAACAAGTTGAGAATATGTATTTGAGAATTTGGATATCTTTCTTTTTTTTTTTTTTTCAATTCTGTCTACTTTATTTGAATGTTCCTAACTTGAAATGAGCATCTCTACCTCTTTGCCCTCTTTGCTGATATAATTTTATCTGCCTGCTCCCTGAATGTTGGTTTAGGCCTCATTTTTCTTGTCTTTTTATTCCTCACATACTCTTTGGGTAATCTTAACCACTCCAAGATTTGATTGTCATCAATGAACTAATGACTTAAATTATGTACAGACTTTTGTCCACTTTCTCATGTTCTAGACTTGTGTATCCAAGTGTTTCAATTTAAATGTCCAATAGAAGTAAAAAGATTAACATACCCCAAACAGAACTCTACTTCATTTGTCAGTTTCCTGTTTCTCCTCTTCCTTGTTCTATAATCCCTGCTGTGATTTCTGGTATCATTATCTAAAGTGCCTTCTCTTTGAGGATTAAAAAATGACTTATTTTATAGGTTTCCCTGGAATTCCAGGACCTTCAGGACCACCTGGGACCCCTGGAAGAATTGGACTAGAAGGTTCTCCTGGGCCACCTGGCTTTCCAGGACCAAAGGTTTGGGACATTTTAAATTGCTCCTTCTTATTTCTCTACCTTTTCTACCTTCTTTATTTTTAGCTCTCTATTTTGACTCAAACATCATCTCAGATCTTCACTATATAGATAAAACTTAACTGATTATATTGTCATTTTAAAATATCTAACCCCAAATCATCTTTTAATAGTCCAAGAGGTCATATTGGGAGTGCAGAAATTTCTGAACTTATTTTCAAGTGGCCAGCATTTTGATTAGAGTAGAAAATATAGGCATATCTTGGAGATATTGCAGATTTGGTTCCAGACCACTGCAATAAAGTGAATATCACAGTAAAGTGAGTCACACACATTTTTTGGTTTCCAAGTGTATATGAAAGTTGTTTATACTATATTGTATTTTATGAAGCGTGCAATAGCTTGTGTCCAAAAACAATATACATACCTTAACTTGAAAATAGTTTATTGCTAAAAAGTACTAATGATTATCTAAGCCTTCAGCAAGTCATTGTTTTGCTTTTGGAGGAGGGTGTTGCTTCAGTGTTGATGGCTGCTGACTGATCAGGGTGGTAGTTGCTGAAGGTTGCGGTAACTGTGGCAATTTCGTAAAATAAGGCAGCAGTGAAGTTTGCCACATTGATTGACTCTTCTTTGCACAAAAGGTTTATTTGTAGCGTATGATGCTGTTTGGTAGAATTTTATTGATAGTAGGATATGTTTCAAAACTAGAGTCAATCGTCTCAAACCCTGCTGCTGTTGTATCAGTTAAGTTTATATAATATTCAAAATATTTTATTGTCATTTCAACAATTTTCACAGCATCTTTATCAGGAGTAGATTCCAAATCCAAAAAACCAATTTATTTGCTTATCCATAAGAAGCAACTCTTCATCCATTAAAGTTTTACTGTGAGATTGCATCAGTTCAGTCATATCTTAGGACTCCAAGTTCTAATTCCCTTGCTAGTTTCACCACATCTGCAGTTATTTCCTGCACTGAAATTTTGAACCCCTCAATGTCATCCATGAGATTTGGAATCAGCTTCTTCCAAACTCTTGTTAATATTGATATTTTCACCATTTACCATGAATCACAAGTGTTCTTAATGGCATCTAGAATGGTGAAGCCTTTCCATAAAATTTTCTTTTTTTTTTCTTTTTTCTCTTTTAAATTCTTTATTTTAAAGATGTGGGGTACAATTCAGGGTTAGATATACAAATGTTCATTATGCAGGTACCCTTGTTGATTAGGTGTGCCCCCCCTCCGCCAGCAGATTCCTACTACTGCCAATTCCGCCTCCCCCCACCCCATCAACAGCAGTTTCCTGCTATTGCCAGTACTTTTCTTATAGTATTACGATAATTGTTCAAGGTCTGCTTATGAGTGAGAACATGTAATATTCAGTTCTTTACTTTGCCCAGATCCATCAGAGGAATCACTATCTATAGCCTTATGAAAAGTATTTTTTATATAATGATTCAAAAGTCAAAATTACTTATGATTCATGGACAGAACAATGGTTATTGTATTAGCAGTCATGAAAACAACATTTATCTTCTTGTACATCTCCATTAGAGCTCTTTGGTGACTAAGTGCATTATAAGTGAACAGTAATATTTTGAAAGAAATCTTTTTTCTTGTAGTAGATCTCAACAAAGGGCTTAAAATATTCAGTAAACCATGCTATAAACAAAAGTACTGTCATCCAGGCTTTGTCGTTCCTTTGTAGAGCACAGGCAGATTCGAATTTAGCGTAATTCTTAAGAGTTCTAAGATTTTTGGAATGGTAAATGAGCATTGGCTTCAACTTAAAGTCACCAACTGCACTAATCCCTAACAAGAGAGTCAGCCTGTCCTTTGAAGCTTTGAAGCCGGGCATTAACTGAACCTCTCAAGCATGAAAGTCCTTCATTGCATCTTCTTCCAATAGAAGGCTGTTTCATCTACATTGGAATTCTGTTGTTTAGTTTAGCCACTTTCATCAATGATGTTAGCTAGGTCTTCTGCATAACTTACTGAAGCTTCTTTATCAGCACTTGCTGTTTCACCTTACATTTTTATGTTATGGAAACAGCTTCTTTTCTTAAACCTCATGAACCAACCTCTGCTACCTGCAAACTTTTCTTCTGCAGCTTTCTCACCTCTCTTGGCCTTAATAGAATTGAAGAGAGTTAGAGCTTTTCTTGGGATTAGGCTTTGGCTTAAGGGAATGTTGCAGCTGGTATGATCTATCCAGACCACTAAAACTTTCCTCCTATCAACAATAAGTCTGTTTGCTTTCTTCTCATTTGTGTGTTCACTGGAGGAGAACTTTTAATAACTTTTGAGAACTTTTCCTTTGCATTCACAACTAACTGGCACAAGAGGCCTAGCTTTCGGCCTGTCTCTACTTCAGCATGCCTTCCTCACTAAGCTTAATCATTACAGGCTTTTGATTTAAAGTGAGAGATGTGTGACTCTTCCTTTCACTTGAAAATAGGTTATTGTGGAGTTGTTAGTTGCTCGAATTCCAATGTAATTGTGTCACAGGGAATAGAGAGGCCCTAGGAGAGAGAAAAATGGGGGAAATGGGCAATCAGTGGATCAGTCAGAATACATACATTTATTAGTTAGGTTCACCATCTTATATGGGTGCTGCTTGTGGTGTTTCAAAACAATTATTAATATCAAAAATCACTGATCACAGATCACAATAGTAAAAAAGTTTGAAATATTGTGATAATTACCCAAATGTGACACAGAAACATGAAGTGAGCACATGCTGTTGAGAAAATGGTGCCAATAGACTTGCCCAACACAGGGCTGCCAAAAACCCAATCTGTAAAAAAATGCAGTATCTGCAAAGTGCAATAAAATAGTGTACAATCCCCAGCTCCCCCGTGCATCTTTATAGAATCACCATCCCGTTTCTTCTCTGTTCATGCCTGTGTGATGATTGGTTGAAATGGTGTTGAATATCATATCAAGACCATACTGTTGCCTTCTGTCCCAATCCCATTGCAGATATATAATGCAAATCACTGCTATTGACATAGTAATGATAATAGTAGATAATACTGTGTTTGAGTTACTTCTCATTCCTTTTGTTATATCTTACCCAATCTCAAACTTTCCTTAGTCAACCTTCAGTAAATTGCTGTGGTATGTAATTACTCTGACTGTTCCTATGCATTTTCTCTGTGCTTAATTGATTTAAACTTTCTGTGCTTCATCATCATTACCTGTTTTCTATGGGAAAAACAGTTAACCATGACCCCAGCTCTCTATTGGTTGTTTTATTGTGTTATGAATATTTTCTTTTTCTTTTTTCTTTTTCTTTTTTGAGTTAGAGTCTCACTCTGTCACCCAGGCTGGAGTGCAGTGTCACACTCGTGGCCACCGCTGCCTCAACCTGCTGGGCTCAGGTGATCCTTCTGCCTCAGCCTTCCAAGTAACTGGAACTACAGGCATGTACCACCACGGCCAGCTATGAACATTTTCAAATGAACAAGACAGTAAAAAGATTAATACAATGTGCTTTCATATTACTGTCACCCAGATTCAACATTATTACAATTTTATCATATTTGTTTCATTTATTCCTTTGGGGGAGTATTTTAACCCAAATCTCAAAATTGTGTCATTGTACTTATAAATATTTCAACATTCATCTCTAAGTAAATGGACATTTTATATAAAAATCACAATGTCATTTTCATACTTAGTCAAATTTAAAAAGCTATTTAGTATCATCTAATAATCAGTCTATAATGACATTTCCTCTCTTGGGTAGACTGTTCTTTAATCTCATGCTCTCTCAGTTATCTCTTTCATATCTTGAAACCAGTCCAACTCATTTAATTTATTTTACTAAAAACCCTGTTTCCCATCCTTCCATATGTTTTCTCCAACATACCAATTATTTTTTATGTAATTATCTTCCTTACTCCCCCAATGGGGAAAAATAAGTATTGTCTTGTATTTTCTGCTTTAAATTATCTGTGGTATACAATAAGCACCAGGAAAGTCATGGGAGTTTTTGTGTGTGTGTGTTTTGTTATGTGTATGCTTAAGGGAGAGCCAGGATTTGGATTGCCTGGGCCACCTGGGCCACCAGGACTTCCAGGTTTCAAAGGAACACTTGGTCCAAAAGGTGATCGTGGTTTCCCAGGACCTCCAGGTCCTCCAGGACGCACTGGCTTGGATGGGCTTCCTGGACCAAAAGGTATGGAGGCTTTTGCTACTTCTCAATTTGCTCTTAACTTTTATAGAAATTGAAACCTTTGGGAAAGTTTATGAATGAGATAAGCTCAATTAACTGGAAAGCCCATACTGCGATTCTGTCACTGCTACACTTTCTTTCTACTCTCTGTTGATTATTTTTGTCTTTTATGTTATTGAGTATATAATACAATCATATATGTGTAAAAGTAACACTAAGAAGTCTTCCTTCCAACCCATCTTCATTCACTCTGTTTCTCTCCATCCCCATATGTACCTATTTGTTAGTTCCTTATTTATCCTCCCAGTATTTCTCTATAAAAATAGTGGCCAGTAAGAATATATTTGTATTTTCTGTATTTCTTAAAGGAGATGATTATCTTTTGGCTTTTTTTGGACTTTACTTATTTCACTTAAATTTGTATTCTGGATATCACTCCATATCAGTCAATAGAGATACTGTTCTTAAGGTGCTAGAAGATACGTGTTTGGGGTAGTCTCCATGTGACCCCTTCATACCTCAAGCATTTGTTATGTTCCCTGCCAGATAATACTTGAATCACTAGAAACACAAAGACATAGATTCTGATCTTGAAGACCTCAGAGATGGCTCTCTACTGTAAGAAAATCTAGGTGGTATCACCATGATAGAGGTTATTTCAATGGGAGCTTTTATGAATATATATCACTAATGTTTTGGATTAGTAGATCACAGCCAAAACTCAACTATCAGATGACAAAGTTTACCTACCAGACGCACACCAATGACTGGGTAGTAGAACTCGGTGACTAAACTGTAGGAAAGGTTGATACAACACTTGCAAAACAATGAAATGACTAATAATAAATGAATAAGGCTAATATCCATCAGGATATATCTCTATGAGGAAGAAAGTATGCTTAAGGCTAAACATTAGAACCAGATTATACAAAAGGGAAAAAAAGAGAATGACTTTGGAAGCATTTAGTTTACTACATATATTATTTTTGTTCAGGGCCTCATCTAGAGGTGTCTAGGGAGATTTTATATAGGAGGTGATACTTGAACTGAATCTTAAGGGAAAGGTATTCCAGGCAGCAGAAGTAACATGCAGAGGTATCATTGTGACAAATAGGATGACATGTTTGGAAATATTGAAAGAAATAAAAAAATACATAATTTATGATAGCCACAAAACATATTTCATACCAATATGACAAACAACTCCATGCTCACAAATTTGACAACTTAGATGAAATAGACCAATCTCTTGAAAGATGCATCTAATGAAGTTATACAAACTATTGAAGCTTGCTGAAGAAGAAATAGATAATCCAGATATCTATTTTTAAAAGTTGAGTTTGGTCAGGCTCGGTGGCTCAGCCTGTAATCCCGCGCTTTGGGAGGCCAAGGTGAGTGAATTGCCTGAGCCCACGGGTTCAAGACCCGCCTGGGCAACTTGGCAAGACCTCATCTCTACAATAAATCAAGAATTAGCCAGGCGTGGTAGTGTGTGCCTGTAGTTCCAGCTACTTGGAAGGCTGAGGCGGAAGGATCGCCTGAGCCTAGCAGATCAAGGCTGCGGTGGCCGGGAGTGGCTACTGCACTCCAGTCTGGGTGACAGAGTGAGACTCCCACTCAAAAAAAAAAAAAAAAGTTGAGTTTGTAGTTAAAAAATCTTCCAATGAAGAAAACTACAAGTCCAGATGACATCACTGGTAAATTCTGACAAACATTTAAAGAATCAATAACACCAACGCACTCTCTTCTCAAAAGAGAAGGGCATGAATCACTTCCCAATCATTATGTGAGACTAGTATTACCTTGATATCAAAACCATGCAAAGTCAATATTTTTAAAAGCTATAGACCGATATCTCTCATGAATGTAGACTTAAAAATTCTCAAGAAGATATTGGCAAATTAAATCAAGCAATATATAGAAATGATTAATGCACTACAATCAAATCAACCTTATCCTTAGAATATGGGCTAGTTCAGCATCTGAAAATCAATGTAATTTGTCATATCAACAGTCTGAAGAAGAAAAACTATATTTTCATCTCAATAAATGCTGAAAATTATTTGATAAAATTCAGCATCCATTCCTGGAAAATATACTCTAAGAAAATCAGAATAGAAAGGATCCTCTTTAGCATGATAAAGGACATTTACAAAATCTTGATCCATTTTATTTAGTGATTAAAGACTAACGTTTTTCCCCCAAAATATAGAACAACACAAAGATATTATTATTGATTATTTTAACTGTCATACTGGAAGTCCTAGCCAATGATGTAAGATAAGAAAAAAATACAGATTAGAAAGTAATAAATGAAACTGTATTTATAAATGACATGATTTTATACTTAGAAAATCCTAATAAGTCTATAAAAAACCTCTTATAACTAAGAGGTGAATTTAGTAGGATCATAGGGCACAAAGCTAATATACAGCAATAAATTTATTTCTATATGCTATCCATGAACAACTAGAAATAAAAACTAAGCAAAAGCAGCATAATTTATAATTGCATCAAATAACATATGCTTAGGTGTGCATAGTTCTAAAAAGTGCAGTATCTGTATGTGAAAAAGTATAAAACACTGTTGACGGAAGTCAGATCTAAATAAATGAAATGATATATTTTATTCATGAACATTGTTACAACATTAGTTCTCTCCAAATTGGTCCACAGAGGAAACATATTTTCAAGGAGAATACAGTAGTAGCTTTTTATTTTAAAATTTATATGGATAAACAAATGACTCAGAATGGCCAAAACAACTTTTAGAAAGAAGTACAAATTTGGGGGATTAACAGTACTTGATTATAAGACTTAATATAAAGTCACAATAATTAAGATAGTGTGATATATGTGAAATATAGACAAATAGATAAATGGAACATAATAGAGAGTCTAGAACTAGATATATATTTGATTTTTGACAAAGTTGCCAAGGCAATTTCAATAGAACAATAAGTCTTTTCAACAAATGATACTAAACATAAAACAATCAGGCATCCATACGCAGAAAACACAAACAAACCGCAGTCTGTACTTCATACTTTGCACAAAATTTAGCTCCAAATGGCTCACAAACCTAAACATAAAATCTAGCATGATCAAACCTCAACACAGGCAGGTGGATTTTTTCTATAAAGAACCAGACGGTAATTATTTTAGTCTTTGTGAGCTACATAGGGTTTCTGTCACATCTTCTTTTTTCTCTGAAAATGTAAAATCCATTCTTAGCGTATAAGCAGTACAAAAACAGGCCTACAGGCCATATTTAGCCCATGGGCAGTACTTCGTCGTCCCTTGTTTTAGATGAAAGCATAAGAGAAAATCTTTGTGATTGGAGGTTAGGCAAAAAATGTTATAACATCAAAAGAACAATTTATAGAAAAACAACATTGATAAATTGGAATTTATTGAAATTAAATGTATTTTCATATCACATATCTAACAAAGTACTTCTAACTAGAATATATAAAGAACTCTCAAAACTCAATAATAAGAGAACAAAAAAACAACTTTTAATAATGCAGATTAAAAAATTGGCAAACAATTTGAATAGATATTTCACCAAAGAAGGCATTCAAATGACTAATAAGCACTTGTAGAGAGATGCTCAATATAATTAGTCATCTGGGAAATGCATGTTTTCCACAATGAGATATCACTACTAACTGTTAGAATTATTAGCTTTTCAAAAAAGAAGAAGGAAAGCTGACAATATGAAGTGCTGCCAAAAATACAGAGTAATATGTAAAATGGTGCAGCCACTTAAAAAAACAGCTTGGTAATTTCTTATAGAGTTAAGCATGGCCTTTCCACATGACACAGCAATTCCACTCCCAAGAAAAATATGAAGTAGCCAAGTCTTGTAGCTCAACACTTATAGCAACTTAACTCATAATCACCCATTGTCCCTCAAATGGTGACAAGATTAACAAAATGTAGCATGTTAATACAATAGAATAGTAATCAGCAATAAAAAGTAACTACAGATACGCACAAAAACATGGGAGAATCTCAAATGCATTTTATTAAGTGAAATAAGAAATACTCAAAAGGCTACATATTGTATAACTGCATTTATATGACATTCTGGAAAGGGAAAAACTGTAAGGCATAAAATATATCAATGTTTGCCAGGGAACTGGGATGTGGGGAGAGGTTGACTACAGGACACAGGGACCTTTTTGGGTTTATGGGAATGGCCTATATTTTTATTATAGTAGTGGTTATATGCTTATATAACTCACCAATGGGTGAATTCTAGTACATGTATAAAATTTTTAAAGTGGGAATGACATGCAGAGAGACAGACATAAGTTGGAGAAGGGGACAGTGAAGTTTCTTATAGCAGGAAGAGATGTTTTGCAGATAATGGGAGAGGCTTGAGCATGTTTACAGGCCACAGCCACGAGTTAGTAAAAAAAAAAAAAATAGAGGTTGAGGGTTATCTACCTTAAAACATGGGTAATTTGAAAACTTATAAATGAATAAATATATGCCCAAGATGAGTTACAAATAGGAGGAATGTGTGGTTTGTAATCTTTTGTATTTGTGAGGTTGGTATAGGCACTGAAGTAGTGCTGAGCATATGTTAAATTATAAGGCTACAACTATTGATGAATTTCCTTTCCTTTACTCTGGATATGTCTGTGTACTTTTCTTGCTAAATGACTGGCCAGTTTTTCAGGATCCCTGCTTAATATGATGTGCCTTTTCACATGGGCATTGTGGTTCCTGAGAACTAGTGGCTCAACTGTTGTTTTAAATATCCAAACTATATTTCTTAAAGGTGATGTTGGACCAAGTGGACAACCTGGATCAATGGGACCTCCTGGGCTGCCAGGAATAGGTGTTCAGGGACCACCAGGACCACCAGGGATTCCTGGACCAATAGGCCAACCTGGTAAGATTGGAGTAAATGTGCATTTTGTAGCACTCATAATATACAGGTTGGTTAACTCATCAATAGCCTGCCTAACAGTCTTCCAGAAAATAGATTTAAGAGATAACACGTCTTTGTATATAATTTTGTAAAAGTGAAGAAGTATAGAGCACAGCATAAGAGCTACTTTAATCCCTGGTATTTTTTTCTTCCTGTCCTTATAAAATCGATCTATTTCTAATAATGTGATTTAACAATTGCAGTGTGTTACTATTAACATGTAATTGTTGAGCCACACATACTTTTGGAAGCATAGACTTAAAAACTTCTAGTGTTGATTGTGTCAGACCTGAGTAACTGTCCAGCATTAATAGATCTCTGTCTGTGGAACCTCTTAACATTTCTTAGCATATGAGAACTAGAGATAGAATTCAGAAGAAAAACATCTGTAAAAATATATTTCAGACATTCTCATTTCCTTTAACAAAAAATAAATGGGTTGTTTTTTTTTCCTTTTGGACCCCAAAGCAGTAATCACTTTACAACTTACCAGCATACTAAACTTTTGTATTTAATATTTTGAATTGAATATTCAAACAAGTTTGTCAACATGTAACCTAATGGATTTGCCTCCATAAGTAGAGAATCATGTGGTTCCTCAAAGTTTAGGTGAGAGCATATTCAGTTTGTGGATTCTGAGCTGCTTAGTGATGTGAATTCTTGTTATCTAAATCTAGGCAAGCACAATAAGAGCCACGGTGAGGCCAGCATTATGTTATTGCAAAATACTGTAATAATTCATAAAATTAAAATAAATATAGACCATTTAATCATTTTTTAGTACACATGAATACATCAGAAGGCTTAAACACATAGTTTAGATGTGCATACATTTACTTCAAAGCAATGAAAATATATTTTCTGATCTTAAATGGCAATGGATATTTTGTTAGCTATTTTGCTAAAAATCTAGAAACACAAGTGAACAATATAAAAAACCTGTAAAGCAAATGTTATTTTATTTTTGTCCTGTTTTATAAATTTATTTTATGGCACATTATACCTTTTAATGGCCTTTGACATGTCACTATTGATTTTTAAATTTAAAAACTTGGAATGTTGCTTTGAACCAGGTTATTATAAAATAGCTGCTTTATCATTTATGGGAAAAAAACTTTTCTGTACAACTAGGATAGCTAGTTTTCCTGAGAAAAATTATTTATTTTTAAGTTTGTCCATTAAAAACTTGACCTGCCTTTTCACAAAGATGGATAAAATGAATTTATCATTTGTGTTTTGTCATTTATTTTAGTCCCAAAAAGTGCATCAAGTTTTGGAAGTATTTTGAATTCTTAAATCACAGCTAAGTAAATAAAAAAGAGACCATCATTAATACCAATTTGGACAAAATACTAATATGTTTAGGTATACATCATGCTTTCTCAAATTTACTCAATAACTTGCAGTATTTCATTCATCTAATGTTCTCTCTCTCCTTTCTCCCTCTCTCTCTTGCAACTGATATATAGATTTAAATTATAGATATTGATTTATAAAGTCTAGATAGGATGTATAGAAAGAAAAGTAATAATAATTTTATCTATTTTATCTTTTTTTAAATACATGTACTGCCATAGAATTCAAGATATTAAAACTAATATGGTTCAACAAACGAAATTAACAGTAAGCAGCATGAAAGCATATTGAATTTACTCTTAATATAGAAATGTTCTCAAATCACTTTTCTACCACAAGATGGACCACATTACATATTTGATAAAAGTCATGTGTACTTTTAAAGTATATTTTACTTATATCACCAAAACAGAATACTCTCTTAGACCATTTCTAAAATATCATAATTTCTGTAAATACATCTCAGTAATATGGTGATCAGCAAGAATATTGCTAATATCTTGATAAACCTGATATATGCTGCAGGGCTGAAATTCTAGCAATGTTTTCTGTAAGAAGCATATTTAATATACTTGTTTCATTTTGCAATAGAAAACAATCCAAATTATTATATATTATCTCTTTAGTGTAAAATGTTTGTGTTCTGCTTTTCAGTCTTTGCTTTTGACTCTAGTTTTCTATTATTATTTAATTAAGCTTTTGCTATTTGCCCTTCTCTTTTCCAAGGTAGACTATACAGTTTAACACATATTTATAAATTAATGTACCATTTACTATTAATTTCTCATTTGATAGCAGGGATATAAAAGAACATTGCCAAGGGAGTAGAGACAAAATACTTTTCATTTCATAACCTGCCAACTCGGGCAAAAATGAAGGTTGTTGATTCTTATTATTTAGGTTGACCATTAGCTAGAAGATTTATGATTTATTGAATTTTTTTTTTTGAGTTGTAGTCTCATTCTGTCACCCAGACTGGAGTGCAGTGGCCGCTCCCGGCCACTGCAGCCTCGACTTGCTGGGCTCCGGCGATCCTTCCG